TAGTATAAAGGTCACCTCCTTAACTGAGAAACTGGCTGTACTGCATATTTAGAAAAGATAGCCTAGTCCTTCTTAAGACCCGCAAATACAAAGAATAAGAAGTCAATGTATACAGTTTTGTAATGAGGTTAATGGTGTCATGGTAGACTGTGTTTAAGTGGTTCTCAACCTTGGCAACCCATTAGAATCACCTGGGGAGTGTTTGAAAAATTCTATGCTCAGGTCCCTCCCAAGAGCAGCAGTTGAATCAATTCTTGGGGTGGGGGTCCCAGTCTTGTTGTTTTTGGGGGTTTTTTGGGTTTTTTAACTACTCCCTAGGTGTGATTCTAATGAGCAGTCAGGGATGAGAACCACTGGCTTAGGTGGCCTTTCCCATCTTGAGAGCCCTATTTGCTTGTATAGATTTGTGACCTTGTGTTTTGGGACCTCAACCTCCAGCTGGAACCTAGGGAGACATCACATATAGTGTCTGAAGGTGGAGCAAAGACAAAATGCCCACCAAACTGAGAGGGTATCTTGAGACCAAAAAACGAAGCAGGCACATCCATGCAGTAAGGAAAAAAGTTTTAATTAAGTGGGTGATGTACTTACAGGGTAATGGATCTGGCTGGCAGCGACCCAGGAGCTTACGCAAAGTTTCTTGGCGCCGGCCCCTGGTCAAGACCAAGTTTACATAGGCAGTTTACACAAAGTAGTGGAAAAAGCCAAGAAGCAATTACTAACTGAGACACAAGCTACTTTCACTACTGATAAGAACAATTATTATCTTTGGTGGTCTTGTGATGCAGGTAGCCAGAACAGCTGTTACCATGCCTAATCATTAGGCATGATTAGTACCTAATCATTAGGTCCCTTCTTCATACTCAGCAAGCTGTTTCTGCCTAGAGTTCTAACATCTTTACCTAGTTACTGTGTAACTTCTGTGGGCAGGGCTCACACAAAGGACACAGCACGTGGTGAGGGCTTTCAAGATGGAGTAGGTTATGCTCACAGTCTTACAAACAGCCAGTCAAACTGGAACCCTGGCCAGAGGAGGTCTTCCTTTATTATTTAATGCTCCCTCTCAGGAGCTCTTATGGCACATTTCACTGGTATTACACTATTGAAGGATTCAGCTACACTCTGTTTAGGACTGCTCTTGATTAGCACATGTGTGCTCTTTTTGGCTGCTTAGCCACGGGCAAGCAGTGCTAGGTAAGCCTGGTGGGAGTAGGTGCTTGATCGTATTTGTTGACTTGTTGAGAAAAGGGAGCACAGGTACAAGAATATTTTTGAATTTCAATATGTTCTGTTGCCCGAAACATATTAAACTAAAAAGAAAATGCATTTTCAAACATAAACAATACAAAATACTGTAGCAATTTTTAGGTTGCTTGGTAATGTATAAACTTTGTTATGTATAATAATATAGGAATCTTGACTTCAAAAAGATTTTACACTTGCTTTATCTAAGCTCCTACTTCGTAAACCATGATGGATCTCCCAACATACAGTTTAAGGAGCCTTATCAAAGATTGGATTTGATCACTGAGACTCATGTACTTTTTCTTCAAACGTCTTTCAGGAAAAAAACAGTATATTGAGTGGGGTGGAAAGCTCAGGAATTTGGTAAGAGCTAAGTTGCTTACAGAAATTCCCAAAACACAGAAGCAGGCAGCTAAAGGTGTAATATTTAACAGACAGATTCCCTGATTGGAGGAATGAGGTTAGGGAAGGAGCAATATGGCATTAGAATCCCATCATTTTAATTAAATTGTTTAATTTCAGTAAGAAAGTGCTGTAAAGTTAATAGCCAAAAATGAAATATTTATTGAGTGCTTTTTTTCTGTGCAAGGCCCTGTACTCTAGAAGCCATAGAGTTATAAAGTACAGTTCTCTTTCACAAGGTATTTACAGTCCAGAGAGGGGGATATGACACCCAACCTGAAAAATGACTAATTATCTTAATATATTTTTCTGACGAACACATTTTTTTAGCCCTGATTATTCCTTCTCAAACTCTACAAGCTTACCAGGGTTATTAATGTAGCTTTTTAGGATGTCTAAGTAAGTAGATGATTGTGCCCAAATAGTGAACCAGGCAAGTGCCTTGAATCTTGCCATTAACCCAAGTACACACTGCAGAGCGGAGTGTGACTAAAAAGGAGTCCCCATGTCACCACTTGTAGAGCTGTGCTGTCTGCTGGACTATATAGCATTTTTAAAGAGTTGTTGGAGTCAAGAGGTTAAACATTTTATAATTTGCAGTGAGGAAGCAAAGTCCTGAGCCCTCCTTGGTTTCTTATTAACAGATTTCAGATAGAAAGGGAAATTCAGCTTCTATCTCCCAATGGGATTCTGGAGATATACTTGTGATCTGGTGAGTTTAAGTGTATGGGCTGAGGAAGACACTTTCTCTCATTACAAACCGAATGGGTTTTGATAGTTATGAATAAATAAAAAAATAAAATTTTTAATGGAGACTCTCTGTACAGAAATTACAAATAGGAGGCTGTGTCTGAGGTTAGGTTCTGAAATCCATAATAAAAGGGTTTGGGGGATGTCACTGTTCTTTTTAACTTATGACAAACTTTAAATGCATAGATAGGGCTGGCCAGTTAGCTCACTTGGTAAGAGCATGGTGCTGATAACACCAAAGTCAAGGATTCAGATCCCAGTAGAGGCCAGCTGCCAAAAAGCACAATAAAATAAAAAAAGAACAAACACATACACAAAAATACATAGATAACTTAGAATCCCGCTTTTCCTAATTATGAGTAAGGCATTCCCCCCATGCAGGGCTGTTGACCAGCAAGTCACTCTTTACATAAAGGGCTTGGTTTGTTCATGAAATGGTTCACAAAAATACATAGATAACTTAGAATCCCGCTTTTCCTAATTATGAGTAAGGCATTCCCCCAAATGCATGCAGGGCTGTTGACCAGCAAGTCACTCTTTACATAAAGGGCTTGGTTTGTTCATGAAATGGTCAGCAAATTAACAAAAGAAATTTAAACCAATACCACGTGTTTATTTTGCTTCCATTTTGATTAGTCTTGATGGTGGTAAAGCCCTTATTGCTCAACTTGAACTGATTAAAAGGAAATTTTTAAAAAATCAAAAAAAAAAAGGAAATCACTTCCAAATGCAATAATTTTTATTTCTCTAATTGTTAGTTTTAGAAATACATATTTATTTATTCCTATATGTGTGTATATATATAATTACATAATTCCTATATACATATAGGAATAAGTATATATATTTGGATACTTGTAAAGATTAGTAGTAGTGGCTTAATAAGAAAAATACCATATTGTATATGTAACTGTATATCTGTTACTTAAATGCTAAATATAGTTCCTATTTAAATTTTTTTTTTTTTTTTTTTTGTCCTTTTTGAGACCCGCCGCACCGCGCTAAGCCAGTGAGCGCTGTGAGCACACCGGTCATCCCTATATAGGATCCGAACCCGCGGCGGCAGCGCGGCTGCGCTCCCAGTGCCGCACTCTCCCGAGTGCGCCACGGGCTCGGCCCTAAATTTTTTTTTTTTAATCACAAAAAATATATCCATATTTCCAAGTTGACAGAGAAAACTTTCAAATTAATTACTTGGACTCTCTCATCAGCTTGTCTTTTTTGACCAGGTGTTACAAAACAGCACATTCGCCAGTCAGTGAGATTAGATTTAAACATTCCACATCTTTACTCAGGGAAGACTCAATCTCATCACCCCTCCACCCTCATACCCCCCACCCCCAACCGGCAACCAGCCCAGCATCAACCACCCAGCCAGGGTGGTGCGGGGGCTGAGGGCTTCAGCCACACCCCTCTGACATCCGCACCCAGCTCAGCAATGACCAGGCCAGCCCTGGAAGCCCCCTGATCTCCCCTGCAGGAATGAGGGGGTGCCACAGGCCTCAACCCCCTTCCACCCCTCCTCCTTCCTCCTCCTCCCACCCTATTTCCTCCCCCTTTCCCATCTCCCCCTCTCCCCCTGCTGTTCTGCAACATCATGGAATGTAAATAATAATAATATTAATAAGTAAATAAACTTAAAAAAATAAAATTTCCCTTTGAAAAAAAATCTCATCACCCCCAGATAGGCCATCAGGAAACTAGCAGGATACTTGGCATGAAAAACAAACTCACATTTTTATTTATATTTTACAAAATCTATATTTTAATAATGTGTACACAGTTTTAAAAAATACAGAGCGCTCAGCCCAGGTACTCTACAAAAAAAAAAAAAGCCTGACTTTTCTTCATGCACGCACACACAAAGCACTAGGCATAAATGCATTTGCACAACAGGGAGGGAGCTCTGCACTGAGCATACACAAGTGATGGGTACTGTAACTTCACCCGAACAGGACAACTTTACGAAGTTTAAGAAAGCGGTTATTTCTCTGAGGCCTGAAACCGCCATATAGCCTAATCCTATTTTTCCTAAAATCGTTTTCCCTCGAAGTAGTCCATAAAAGGGGGAGGAGGCATTATTTTCACAGCATCAAAACCACTCACCATTCACAAGATCCATTACTGAAATCTACACGATATAGACAAGGGAGGGGGAAAGAAAAGCCAAGAGGCTGCTGCGACCCCAGGCCCGCTGACGCGAATGACAGCAACCTGCAAATTCACTGACTGTACTCGAACGACGAGTGCGTCCTTCGGGCCCGCGGCTACCGGACGCCCCCGCGGCTGCCGGGGCAGGGCTGCGGCTCGGGACCTCGGCCACGCGCGCGCGGCCTAACTGGCCATGTGGAAGGGCTCGGGACCACTCACCATTCACAAGATCCATTACTGAAATCTACACGATATAGACAAGGGAGGGGGAAAGAAAGGCCAAGAGGCTGCTGCGACCCCAGGCCCGCTGACGCGAATGACAGCAACCTGCAAGTTCAGTTCAGTGACTGTACTCGAACGACGAGTGCGTCCTTCGGGCCCGCGGCTACCGGACGCCCCCGCGGCTGCCGGGGCAGGGCTGCGGCTCGGGACCTCGGCCACGCGCGCGCGGCCTAACTGGCCATGTGGAAGGGCTCGGGCTGGAAGCCGAACAGCCTCTGGCCGTAGGGCTCGCCCTCGCCCGGCAGCTTCGCGCCCGCCAATGGGAGGTAGTGGTCGCGGCCGAAGTGCTCGCAGGGGACAGAGAGCCAGTCCCGCTCCGAGCCGAACCGCTCGGCCTCGGCCAGGATGCGGGTCAGAGCCATGATGTAGCTCAGCGCCATCTGCAGGGTCTCGTACTTGGACAGCTTCTTATCCTGGCCCCACTGCGGCACCACCCGGCGCAGGCGGTCGAAGGCGCTGTTGAGCCCCTGCATGCGGCGCCGCTCGCGCGCGTTGGCCGCCAGGCGCCTGCGCGCCGCGCTCTCCAGCCGCCCGGCCCCGG